AATGGTATTTGTTATATAACAAAAAAAAAAATTTTTTTTTCGATTTTTTTTTTCTTAAATTGCCTACCAAATGGAGCTGTACTCGGATCCATCAATGGATTTCCTCCAGTTTTCTTCCAGAAAACTCTTGGTAACGGGTATCCATTAGCTACACACGTTAAATTTACTGATCCACCGGCTTCCACCTTATAGATGGATTGTGGTTGACGAAAAAAATATGGTGCTACTTGTCGAACTGCAATAAACCAAAATTGCTTTTACAATCATTAAAAAATTGACGTAAAGAAAAAAGCAATATCAATTGAAAATAAAATTTAGAAAAAAAAGAAGAAAAAAAATTTGTTGCATATTATCATTAAATTTTGACTGAACAGTTATCTGAAACCTTTTTGAATACCGAATAAAGTTACAAGAGAGTAAAATAAAAACTGCAGATATAATTCATAAAACAAAAAAAATCTTACCATTATCAACGTTAGTATCAGAGCTATTTAACATTATTGAATCTTTAACTATTCCATACAGTTTACTAATGCTTTCGTTGTGAAAAAAATTATTTTAGCTAATTGTATTCGTTTTAAAAGAAAAAGTTAGCAATAAACAGCAGCAAATTATAAAGCCAATTTTCCTCTACAATAGCTAATTTTACAACAGCAAAAAAAACATAATATATCAAATAAAAAATGGAATTAAAAAAGCCAATTTTTTTTTGCCATTATCAAATCAGTAATTTTAGAAGAAGAAAAAAAAGGTAAGTCAGCTAATGACAATGAAATGATCGCGGTTTTTGTTGATTTAATGCTCGACAACAAATTGGATGTTGCCGTCGCTGTTATTCACAGTTTCAAGATGAGAGCGATGACGACGACGATGATACTGCTAATGTTGTCGACGACACCGATCTTACGGAGTTCACAAGAAATTATTTCATTTCTTTTTGCTTTTGCAAGAAAAAAACGACAATAACAGGAAAAGTACGGGGGGTTGGGGGGGGGAGGGCTTTAATAAATATTAATGGAATAATGAAGACGAATGCCAGTTACTTCAAAAGAGAACAACTAACCATAATAGGAAAAAAAAGCGGAAATTTTTACGAACAAGAACACATAGCTTTTTTTTTCGTGGCCGTTATCGTTCTTGTTTGAAAAAACTTTTTTTTTCGTTTTTTGTTGGTTGCTTAAGTTAAAACAACGCTTAGGAGCGTTTTCTTCTTTTTTCCAATGTTTTTATTTGTTCGTGTGTTTATGTGTTTTGTTGAAGATGAATATGGAAAAAAATATTCTTTAATTTTTTCGTAGTTTTTCTATTTTTCTACTTTCTTTTTTTTGTTTTAAATTAAAGCTTATCCGCCCCTCTTCTTCCCTCCCTGCTGTCCCATTTTACCCATCCAACGTTTAAGAAAAAAAAAGAATATATCCCATATGTATCAGTATCAACGGTTTCACATTTACAACTTTCAAGTGTCTTCTTTCATCGTCGATCTGTGTTCTTTTGTTTGTTTGCTCATCCAAATGCCGTCGTTACCATTGTCACTCACCTCAAAACCGCCCTATAAATTTAGATCACTAACCCTACCAACAATTGCAAAACAACAAAGTTTCCGTTGTCATCTTAGCAGCACCTTTTTTTCCACTTCAATAGAACAATAATTGACGACAGCAATGTATCCAAACTTATCAGTGGCGAATTGCTTTCAACAGTTAACAGCATCAGAAGCTGCAAAACACAAAAGCAAACAGAAAAGTAAAAAATGAAAAAAAATTTATCAAGTCCAAAGTTTTTCTGCTTATTTTTAGCCGGTAAAAGTATAAACGCAATTTATTGTTTGTCCGGTAAATATTGGTGGATGAAGTGGCTGCAGAGCACATAATGCTTTGAAAACTACTTTTTTCACTTCGCTTCTTCAGCTAACTTTTTAGCTACTTTTGCTAATTCCAACTTCTTTTTCCCACTCCATTTTTTCACATAAAATTGTTTTGTGCTTTTACCGACAAAACATTAACACTGCAGTCATATACTAAAAAATCCAATCTTTTATTGTGGTCCCTCTTCTTTTCTATATTTTGCTTTGTTTTATGTCTTTCCTTTCCCTCCTCTGCTTTACATTACGTCAACCGTTGGAGGAAGGGGAGCATTTTATGAGGAAATATTAAACAAGACATACTTTTCACGTAGATTCTTGCCGACTTAGAATGCCGCACACCAAGGGAATTTCTTGCAACACACTCATATTCGCCCTGATCTGCCTCAGTTGCATTTTGAATCATCAACGTTCCGGCACCTAAAAATACAGTGAAAATTAGTCAGCAATATTCGGTGATCTTCTTTTTATTTAAAAAATATGCACCTTCTCAAGAAAAAAAAAAACAGTTAACATATTAGAGCATTCTAACTGTTTGAAAGTGTCAGTTATGCTTCTTCTAGAATGCTAAGAGAATAATTTGGAAGCAACTAGTGTAAATTCAGTCTCAGCTTTACTTTTCACTTTTAAAGTCTTTCATTACCTTCTCGAGACTGCTTAGCAATTGAATATCGCTCAACAGCCCGAATATCCAGTGGACGCTGTTCACGAAGCCATAAAATTTTTGGTTTTGGATCACCTTCAACAACACAAGGCACAATTGCTGTCGAACCTTTTTCAAATGTTCGTAGCTGTGGATGGCTTCTAATTGATGGAAATCCTCTTGGTAACTGGCCTGAAGTAAGACGTTTAAGAAGAAGCTGTTGACACGAAAATTTTACGTTTTAATTTTGCTCTTGTTATTTGTACAGTAGATATTTAGCAAGTTACTATGAAGAAAAAATACAGGAAAACCGCGACGTAAAAACATTAAAAAGATAAAAAATTTTGCATAAACTGTGGGAGCGAATAATAAGGTTTTCATCTCACTTACTTTCCGGAAGAACAGTAAATTTAGCATCTGCACTAGCATAACGGCCCTTTTCATTGTAGGCATAACAAGTGATGATACCAGAATCTTCCAAAAAGACATGCTCAACCCGTAATGTACTTAAACCGTTTCGTAAAAAATTTACAATATATCTGAAATAAAATAAAACATATCAATGAATAGTACAGAGATAAAAGTTATTTATAGCAAAAAAAAACAAAGAAACATAACTAAATTGCACAGAACAATATTTATAATCTTAATTTTGGAACATTGAACAACATTTTTATTATTAGTACCAAAAAACATTAGCAGTCATCACCAACCTTGGATCATCAATTTTTTTACCATCTTTCTTCCAAATGATCCTCGGATGTGGATCACCTTTGGCCCGACAAAAAAAATTAATACTGGTGGCAACTGGTACCGTGGAATCATCCGGTTTAAATGTTATCTCAACTTCACCTAAACAACAAAAACAAAGAAAAAAGAAGTAAAATAAACTTTATTCCTTTCTCCCCTCTTCCGCTCTTTGACTAACTAATTAGTCGGGCAAATACAATTAACATTATACACAGACACTCATTTAATTACTGTAGTTTTACCCTTGTTCCAAACAGGATGTCATTTACACAAGCTTAATCATTTGGCGACTATAAATATTAAGATCTCAAATAGATAATTTTTAAATTAGTTGAATTATAGCTAGTATAATAATCTAAATCTGTTTTTTCTTCTCCCCTTATCCTCTCTCCATCTTTTCAATTCAAGTTCCTAGAGTCTAATATCGATTGTTTATGGTCCTGGTTATTACTGCTTTTTTCTGGTCCAGTAATCAACAGAACTACCTGTTGTTATCAGTAAAGTACAGAAACAAACGATGTTGGCAATTTATTTACGTAAGAACTCAAAATATCGCCACAGAAGAACAACAGTTTTATAACCATGAAAAAAAAAAGACTACTTTGCAACCATAAAGTACGGTAAATGACAACTAATCTTCAGTTATAAACCTTTGAGAAAAAAATCCACAAAAATTTTTGAATTTTTGAACATTTTTTAGCAGATCATAATTTGCCACTGAACAATAGTACACACAGTTTAGGAAACAAAAAATTGAAAAAGTTGTAAATTTTGCAGGGAATAAAACCTGAGAAAAAAAAACTGCAAGACCAAAAGAAAAAGTAAGAAAGAGAACAATCA